CCCTAACCCTAACCCTAACCCTCTCCACGCTTTATAAGCCTATGTTGGCATAGCACATCTGGCACAGCGTTCAAGGGGCTCCCGTCTATGTTAGTACCTGCTAATAGGGTGGTGACCTGTGGTAGTGAGCAGCAGGCGTGCTGTAGGGAGCTAGGTTGCTCATGAGCCTGTGTATGCTCCTCCTCTCGCTCCTGGTGCTGCTCTTCTGTACACCCATGGAACTGCCATAGCTGCCGCGCCACCTGCACTGCAGTTGGTAGAGGCATCTCGCCATCTTGTGCTTGTGGGCCCTAGTGGAGTATCGTTAGAGACTCTGTATGACTAACATGGTTCTAGGTATTACTACTGCTAACACTACTACTACTATTGACGCTTATGCTAGCGCTAGCGCCACTGCTAATAACAGGAGATTGCTTAGCAGGCGTAGTAGCTTGAGGAGGTGTGCTTAGCATCTCCTGTAGCTAGTTAGTAATGGCAGCCTGCTTTGGGATAAGTGGTAGAGACTGCCGCTTCCTCTTAGTACCACTCCCTTATGAGCTGGCAATTGACTGCGCGTAGACGATAGATTTTCTAGCGTCTGTCTGTAGACGTTAGGACATCTCACTTAGTATCTGACTTTGGACCTTAGACTCCTCATCACCTTGAACATTCCACGACATCTCGTCCTCGTCATGTACACTTGCTTGTCTTGTAGTCGTATCCTTCTCTATAGTAGTTGAGGCTATACCTTTAACGGTCGCTTTAGTAGTGGTTGTAGCTTTAGGAGTGGCTTTGGCGGTGGCACTAGCACAAGGGTTAGCAGTAGAACTCATAATAGACAATAGTAGTAAGTAGCTCTCTATCCTGGCTCACCTACTAATCGACTGCCTCTCTGTCGTTTCCTCACCTTCCTGTCGTAGTGCTTGTAGTATAATTGCTGCCTCGCGCTCTTCATTGACCTCATCTTGTACATTAAGTCTCTAGACTACCTCCTCAACCTCTCTCTCCTCTGTTTGTGGCAGGCGCGCTAGCGCTGGCACCACCTATAGCTGCTAAGGCTGCAGCTAGCCTTGTGATATAACAATGCCTTGCTTAACTGTCGGTTGTATGTCATCTAGTGTTAGTAGGTTAAGGTTGCTCCGTATGCCAGTAGCTAGGCTTGTTAGAGGAGGTGCATCCTACTGTGCTGGATTGTAGAGGATGAACTAGGCGTTCTAAGACGAGGATTGCTGTTAGCGCCGTTAGTAAGTTATACGATTGCTAGCTAATTTAGCTGCTGCTGCATCTTGAGAATTGTGGTATTTCCTTAGTCGGCCAACCATTTTTAATAGGAAGAGGAAGGAATAGGTGATAAGTAATAGTTGTAATGGCGCTAGGGCTAGCACTAGCACTAGCACGTATAGTTGGAATAATTGAGGGGTTAGAAGTAAGGAAATAATACTAATTAGGAATAGCTTAGTTCTACATTAGGAAACAATCCTAATTAGGTATCACGTCTCGCTTAAATGTAGAAATAATCCTAATTAGGTTTAGTAGTGGTGCACGCGCCACTGCTACCGCCACCGCCTGCCTAATTAAGCGACAATACTCATGCTTCTGCCACCTAACCCTCACCCTATGTAACGGCCATTGAGTAGCGTGGGTTTATTCCCGTTAGTGTACATGCTCATCTGCGTCTGCAAGCAGCCTGCTGTAGTACTGGCAATGGTACTGTGAATGGTTACAAACCGTCTACATGGCTCCGTTTAGAGTATCGACAGTCCACCTAAGTCTTAGAATCTCCTGTGCTAATGCCGTATTTGTGTGCTAAAGAGCCTAAACATTTGACCTTAATTGAAGATCACGCGCTACAAACCCATCTAACTAAGATCAAAGCTGTTAGGCGGTTTGCTAATGCTTAGTTTTCTTAACAATGAGGGCGTTAGCTATGTGTTGCAGATCTGTAGTAACGGCAACGTTTTCGTTAGTCATAACAGGAGTTTTCGGCTGTTTAAAGTCCATTAGATCTGGCTACAGCATAGTTAGTAAGCTAGATAGTAAGAAGTAAAGAAAGTAAAAGCTTTTACCATAGTCGTGATTGTCTCCATAGCTAAGATCAACTTGTAGCTAAAGTAAATGTGAGAAATTTTTACTCTTAACTTGCTATCCTAAGCTAATGGACAATAAGTTATCCTCTCTTAGTGAACCCTATAGGGGTAACTTAATGGCAGTAGCATGTATATGGCCCTCGTAATCCTAATGGTAGGTAATTTGTTAGTGCATTACAATCCTAATGCTAACTAGGCCTATGTAGGCAATTAGTTGTATTTCTAACTAACTTGCTATTTACTGTATACCTTGAAGATTCCATAACGCTAGTTGTAAACATATGCCTAATTCCTAGGCTGTGATGTTCACTGTCATAAACGTAGGAATATGTCCCTTAAATTTTGGTTTTCGAGGGAGACATTTAATAAATACTAAAATAAGTTAAATCGGATAAAATACGACAGTCCATTAGCTAAGAAGCATGGACCTATTAAACTTGACATAGTTAAGGTCTACTAGAAGAATGCGCCTACCTACTAGAGACTAGATTCTATTACGCTTCCTATGTACGAGCGTTATCATAAGAGAAACAATGAAAGGCAACAGTTAAATGAGCATCGTAGTAGTTAAGCAAATTATGTTCTTAGGCTGTCCTTACATTTGCTATAGGGAGCTTATAATGCTTTACTAGCTAGATTAGGCAACTTCCCTTATTAGCTCTCACTTCCTAATATATATTATGCAACATTAAGTAACAACTTTATATTTAATAGTGAAGTATTTAATTCATAATAGCTACCTAAAAGTGGGTGACCCTTAGCAAGAAGGTGGCCTGTAAGATGTAGGTTGCCTATAAGATGTAGGTGGCCTATAAGAAGTAGGTGGCCTATAAGATTCACGTCTAGCTCCTAAAAAGAGATATAAAGAATCGGTACACCTTCTTAACTAGTGTTATAAGGCTAGTTCTAAGATAACCTCCTATTCATTAAAATGTCCATAGGTTTTAGGCAACCTAAGCAGCCTATTAGCTTCGGCTCGAATCGTCTAGAGGGGTTTAATAGCTTTTCCTAGCCAACTTCTACCCACTTAGTTTCTAAACAAAAACATTATATTATAGAAATAGAAGAGTCTAAAGCAATAGTAGCTAGCCTTATGAAGATAGAGCAAATTATTGCTAATTAGCGTTAAAACTTAAAGAATTTTAGGATAACTAAGGATCTTGAGACTGAAAAAAAATATATTAAAAACATTAAGATCTATATGGATCTTGTTAAGGAAAATATTAAGAAAAAGGCCTATAAAAATCACGCTAAGTTTCAATCTATCTTAGATAAAATAGGTAGCTTTGTCACGGGTGGCTAAGGGCAAAGCAACAAGGCAAGGTGGCAGGAGAAGCAACTAAGTAGACAAACCATTAGTAACTTATTTTAAAGTTAATTAACGTGCATCCCTACATTAAGGGACGCACCCCGTGACGGGACAAATATTAGTACTTTGAATTTAGTTGATTCTAAATTTGTTGAATCCATTGAAAATTCTAGTATTTTTGTGTTAGTTATGTTATGTAACTACTCTTAAACAGCCTAAACCCTAGCTACTCTAAAATTTACGATCGCGTCGTCGCCATCGCGCCTAATTGCGGATAGTGTCAATTTAAAGTATAATAGAACCCCTTAACCTACAGCACTACCACGAGCTCTTTAAACCTTTCAAACTAACATAACACTTTAATTTAGGTTCCTGAGTCTTACTACAATGCTATAAAATCATCTTAGCCTTGTAGTGACTAGGGAATGCTGTGTTATGCGACGTCTCCACATAGGTTGGTACCTCTAGATTAAGCGATTAAGGAGCTTGTAGCTGCTAAGCTGTGGCTGTATATGGCGGCCTATGAAGCCTTACTATAAAATTCCGTGCCCCGATCATTTATGCATTTAAGCGGCCACACTAGAAGCAACATGGGTTATGCAACCATGCCTAAAGTCTGCCCTTTAGGCGCTAAAGTCAGCCTTTTGAGGCTAAGTGCAGACAACATGCTTTATCGTCTAGTACGACAAACCTGTCTTTCACTCCCACTCTCTAGCATTCTTTCTTCACTTCATGTAGGATAATAGGCAAGCCAACTTCATCATGAGCTTTGGATTTAGCGTGGGCGACTTCATAACTGCAATCGAGCTTGCGAACAAGATCTAGAAGGAATTCGTAGATGCGCTAAGTCAATTCAAGGATATCTCAGATGAGTGCGTTATTTAATAAGAATTCGATCTCTGCTGACTATTATATCCAAATAGGATTAGAAGTCTCTCGATCGTCCTATAAGATGCCGACGTTGCCTTTCTAGAACAAGAGCTTAACACCGACTAGAAAAGACACTTAGAAGACATCGACAAAGGTTGCCGAAATGTTCTCTACGAGCTACAACGAATACTAGACAAAAATAGCGAACTCAGTTCTAAAAGTGGGAGTGTCGGCAAGAGAATCAAAAGAGGGTGGAAGAGGCTTAACTAGAAGCCGGAAGACATCGACGAGCTTCGGAGTCGTATCAGTACAAACATTAATTTATTGAACGCGTTCAACGGACGACTTACTCGAGACAACGTGGTTAAGTTAGTACGGCACCAAGAAGATGAAGAACATCAAACAGCAGTCGACTGGCTCACCCCAATTGACTTCGACTTCGCTACTCAACAGAGCAACTTCATTAGTCGGCGGCTCTCCGATAACGCTTCTCCGAAATTGCAGAGTCACTTAGACAACCTCGGAAGCAAAGTCGGGATTCAATCCCAAAATACAGCGGCGCTCAAAGACCTTGATGAGCATGATGAGAGCATATCTGACTTGGAAACTCAACCCAGATTGCAAACTCTCGAAGGCTCTTCCGAGTATGAGCCTTCTGAGGCTTCTATGGAAGACGGCAGCGTTTTTTCGCTGTCTCAAAGCATCTCTTCGAAGAGCTCTGCACACGGTGCAGAGGGAGCAACTTGTGAACTTGTCATACTTTTGATGGAGAATACGGAACTGCGCAATTTCCATCCACCCCTACGCCAGAACTTCGAAATTACCGCTTTCAAATCCGAGCTGCATCAGTTACTTAAAGTATTCTCAAAGGACCTCTCAAAAGAAGCATTGATTCCAATTGAAAAAGAAAGTGTTCGCTTTGTCAGCCAACTAAGGCGACGGGTGACGCATACTATTGGGCAAGAAGTCTTCGGCTTGAAAGATCAGTCCTTGCTCCAGTCAATCAGTCAACAGCAACAGCTAGACGCAAGAGAGAGGATTGAGAAATTCTTGAAGGATCTAATCCAGTCAAAGGGCAGCGGTGATGAATTGTCATTACAGCATGAGCATACGTCAGATAACGATAGCTCTGACGATGAATACGAATTGGAACCTTTTTCTAATTTTGAACTTGTGAAGAAGTTTCTCATCAACAGCAAAGCCTTTGAAAAGTTGCGAGTCAGCATCAGTAAGTTAGAAGCGCAAGGGGAAGAGTCAAATACAGAGATGCGGTCTCGCCACAACGTGATCGAGTTGGAGAGCAAGATTGGGAAGGACGAAAAGCTGTCAGATATAGGGGTTAATCAAAGCCCATTGAGCAGAACGGTGATACCAGAGTCGCGAACAATTCTCCAAGCTGGAAGAATAAATGTTTTCGCCACGCTACTGCGATGTTCTCGGACTTTGCTTCGCCTCTCCCGTCCCAAGCTGGAAATTGGATATCGGCGACTGGAATGGCAATGTGATTGTGGTATGCCACTCTATGGTGACTTCAGAGGTGACCCTGAAGAAATTAGCAAGCTCGTTAGAGAGATTCAAGCTCACGGATATGCCGTTACACAGACTTGTCACGGAACAAAACAAATGCCAGCGGATTCGGGATGGACCACTGCCTCAAACTCGGCTGTATCTGTACCCCTAGGATTAAACACATCTCAAACAACACAGAACTCCTGTCTTAATTCCACTGGCACTTCGTCTAGAGCACTTGGAGAGACACGAAATCCAACGGTTGGTAGTACAGTCGCCACAACATCTCTGACACCAGTTACGGATAATAGGTCAAAATTCGTAGCGCTATGCGTGAACACAGGTCCATTCCAAAAGACATACGATGAGATTGATATATCTTCCACTCCCAAAAACACCCAAATGTTTCAGGACTTCAAAAAGACGTACGAAGCATGCGTCGGCTCCCGGAGGAACCTACTAAGAAGATGGCTCACGAAGCCTATAGACATCGAATTCATTCAATTCGCAGTGGAAGGCCTCAGGCGTGTCTACCCCATCCCTGGGTCACCTGATTGTACGATCTGTGCTCACGCAGAGAAGAAGGATAGACTTGTCGCCGCACGCAAATACGAGCCTCATCTCAATGCTGTAGCTCTAACCCATCCACCTATTCCCCCAGATCTATTCTTTCACTTGTGGGAGTGTCCGGAACACATAACTCCTACAGTGCAGAATTTGTGGCTTAATCGTCTGCCAAAAAAGCTAGATGAGAAGCTTGACAAGGTGTGTCTGGGGACACGACCAGATGGCGAGCTGATTCTTGGGTGGGGAGTACTTGTGATTGAGGGTCTGCATAGACGGAGAATATTACGATTGACTATCGCTATTGTGGCGTTGAGCATGGTCATCTCGGTGGCCTATTCGGCTGGTATGAAAGATGTGTCCAGTGGGTTTGCAATTGGTGCTCTTCTTGTAGGATGTTGGACCTTATTTATAGCTGCACTATACTCCGAGTGGATGGCACGATGATCCAAAAATCAGGGGTACTTATTGTTGGTTATGGCTACAATGAGGGCTGATAGCATGTTCACCCTGTCAGTGAGTGAAGATAAAGCAGGCCACCACACACAGCCACACCTTTATTGCCACGTGACCAGGAATCTTCGCTTAATTTAGAGCCAACCCATACGACGACGTCGCATGACACAGCACTCCCTAGTCACCACATGGCTGAAAATGATTTTTCAGCATCATGGTGAGACGGGAGCCCAGATCAAAAAGTTATATGATTTTGAAAGGTGCAAAGAGCTCGTGGTGGTGCTGTAGGTCGAAGGGCTCTATTATGCTTCGAATTGACGCCCTCTGCAATTAGGCGCAACGGCGACGACGTAATCGTAAATTTCATAGTAGCTGCGGTTTAGACTGTTTGGGAGTAGTCATACAACATGGCTAACACAAAAACACTAGAATTTTCAATGGATTTAGAAATTTATAATCAATTGTATTTAAAGTACTAATATTTATCCCGTCACGGAGTGCGTCCCTCAATGCAGGGATGCACGTTAGGCGTGTCCACACTGCTATTGCCTCGTCGACTCGCTTAGAACTCTCGTATATGATGCTAATCCATCTAGCGAAGTCTTTAGCTTCATCCCACTTTTTGCTACTAAGAAAGCTGTCGTGAATACTATGATAGAAAGCAAAGACGGTTTCCACGTGGTTGGGAAACCAATCTAAAGATTCTAGGAACTTAGAAAGCCGGGTGTCGTGCAACTTCTAAACATCTTTAAGAGAAACTTCCGCCTAGTTTTTTATGAGTATGATGATTAGTCGATAATGCCTAAGGGCTGCTTGTCGTGAGTTGCGAGATACCTAAAGAAGAGGAGGGATGAAGTATTCGGCCTCTAAGTAGCAGCATGGTATAAATCGAGGTTCGAAATAAGCAAAATCCCATATGTAGAACTGCAACTTAGCTGGCAACTATAGGAATAACAAGAATTGAGAGGGTATCATCTCATTATATGTATTTAATAGCACTTTAATGACGGTAGGGACAAAGCGATTTATAAAGCAGGCTGAAACGCTATCGAGAGACTGTAAGTTAGAGAGCTTTATCATGAGTAGTGTAGAAAATGAGGTGACCTAGCGTCATATCGAAGTCACTAGACTGTTTGCTTGCAAAACTTAAGCTTAAAGATGTAACTTAGAATTGACAATAATCGGCTAGATCTACAATGCTAATTTGCACAAGTGTCTAGTAATGGACCCTACATACCGAGGGAGGTACAGAGAGAGGTAAGAACTAAGAGAGGTAGAATTACAGCTCACCCTAAGACTAGCTTTCCCTCTACCTCCCCCTCCTAACCTTCTTCTAAAACCTGCTAGAGTCAGCTCTCGTGTAGCGTAATAGGAGATAACGTGCATCCCTACATCAAGGGACGCACCTCGTAACGGGACAAATATTAGTACTTTAAATTCAATTGATTCTAAATTAGTGAATCCATTGAAAATTCTAGTATTTTTGTGTTAGTCATGTTGTGTGACTACTCCTAAACAGCCTAAACCCTAGCTACTCTAAAATTTACGATCACGTCGTCGCCGTCGCGCCTGATTGCGGAGGGCGTCAATTTGAAGTATAATAGAACCCCTCGATCTACACTACCACCACGAGCTTTTTGCACCTTTCAAACTTATATAACACTTTGATTTAAGTTCCTAAGTCTTACCACGATGCTAAAAAATCATTTTTAGCCTTGTAGTGACTAGGGAGTGCTATGTCATGCGACGTCTCCACATGGGTTGGTACCTCTAGATTAAGCGATCAAGGAGCTTGTGGCTGCTGAGCTGTAGCTGTGTGTGGCGGCCTCCGAAGCCTTGCTATGGGGTTCCGTGCCCCGATCATTCATACATTCGAGCGGCCACACTAGAAGCAGCATGGGTTATGCAACCATGCTAGAAGTCTGCCCTTTAGGCGCTAAAGTCAGCCTTTTAAGGCTGAGCGCAGACAACATGCTTCGTCGCCTAGTCCGACAAATTCTCTAACTCCCACATTCTGTCATCCTTTCTTCCCTTCATGTAGGATAATGGGCAAGCTAACTTCATCATGAGCTTTAGATTTAGTGTCGGCGATTTTATTTTAGTAATCTAGCTCGCGAATAAAATACAGAAAGAATTCGTTAACGCGCCGAGTCAATTCAAGGCTGTCTTAGACGAGTACGTTGTATATAGAGGAGTTCGATCTTCGCCTACAATTACGTTTAAAATAGGCTCTAAACGCTCTCTATCGTCCTTTAAGATGCTGACGTTGCCTTCTTAAAACAAGACCTTAATGATGACTAGAAGAGAGACTTAGAAGACATCGACAAAGGATGCTAAAATGTCCTTAACGACTTACAACGAATACTAGACAAACATACTGAATTTAATTCTAAAAGTGGGAGTGTCGGCAAGAGAATTAAAAGAGTGTGGAAGAGGCTTAAGTGGGATCTAGAAGACATTAACAAACTTTAGAGTCGTATTAGTACAAATATTGGTTTCCTCAACGCGTTCAACGGGCTACTTACTCGAGATAACGTGGTTAAGTTAGTACGGCACCAAGAAGATCAAGACCGCCAAACTGTCCTTGACTAGATCACCCTAGTCGATTATGCTCCCTAGCTAAACGACTTTCTTACTCGGCGACAGGAGGGAACCGGGCAGTGGCTTCTAGACTCAACAGAGTACTAAACATGGGTAGAGACAAAGAAGCAGAGGTTATTTTGTCTAGGAATTCCTAGGGCGGGGAAGACAATTCTCACCTCAATTGTGGTAGAAGAACTTACTACTCGCTTTCAAAATAATAAGAGCATAGGTATTGCGTACCTCTATTGCAACTTCTAGCGACAGCACGAGCAGAAGGCTGAGGATCTACTCGCAAGTCTGCTGAAGCAGTTAAATCAAGGTCGGTCGTCTCTGCTAGACACTATTAAATCTCTCTATGATAGCCATTAAGTCAAGCGGACGCAGCTATCATTTGAGGAAATCTCAAGAGCTCTTCAGTTAGTAGCTACCATGTACTCGAGAGTCTTTATTGTCATCGATGCTCTTGATGAGTGCTAAGTATCTTATAACTGCTAGAAAAGATTCCTGTTAGAGTTGTTTAGCCTCTAGGCTAAATGCGGAGCGAATCTCCTTGCAACTTCGAGATTTATTCTAGAAATCACCGAATATTTTCAGGGAAGCATATTATTAGAAATACGAGCTAGTGAACATGATGTGCAGAGGTATGTAGAGGGCCATATGGCATATCTACCATCCTTTGTCGGACGTAGTCTAGATTTGCGAGAGGATGTCAAGACTGGTATCATAAAGGCTGTTGACGGCATGTATGTGGTTCTTATTGTAATTATCTACACAAGGACTTACTTTGCCTAGGTTCTTACTTGCTCAGCTTCACCTAGATTCCTTGATCAGGAAGAGATCACTAAAGGCTGTCTAAGCTGCTCTTAAAAATTTGCCTTCTGGTTCCAATGCGTATGACCATGCGTATAAGGATGCAATGATTCGAATTAAAGGACAAGTAACCGACTAGGAGGACCTTGCTAAGCAGGTCCTATCATGGATAACCTGTGTAGAAAGACCATTAACTACAATAGAACTTCAGTAGGCACTTGCTATGGAAGTAGGCGAGTCTGAATTAGACGAAGACAATCTCCTAGAAATTGAAGATATGGTTTCTGTGTGCGCGGGATTAGTTACCATTGATGGGGAGAGTAACACCATCCGCTTAGTTCATTATACAACACAGGAATACTTCGAGCGAACGCAAAGCCATTGGTTCCCGAATGCGAAGACTGATATCACGACTATCTGTATCAGCTACCTCTCATTTGATGTTTTTGAGCGTGGGTTTTGTCAAACGGACGACGAATTTAAGGAGCAGTTGCAGTCAAATCATTTTTTTGAGTACGCCGCACGAAACTAGGGCCACCATGCTCGCATGGCTTCGAGTTTTAGCTAAGCATTGAGCTAGACGGTTGTTAATATTCTTACAAGCAAAGCTAAGGTTGATGCATTGAGCCAAGGGTTATTTGCTACCAAAAGCTATTCATTAGACTGGAATTACAGCTAGAAATTCCGGAAGAAAATGACTAGACTGCATTTAGTAGCATACTTTGGGGTTATGACAGTCATCAACCTACTGCTTAATACAGGTAAGGTCAATGCCGACTCTAAGGATGAAGATGGCTGAACGCCACTATTCTGGGCTGCATAGAACGGGCATAAGGCCGTCGTCATGCTGCTGCTTGATACAGGCAAGGTCGACGCCGATTCTAAGGATAGACATGGTGAGACGCCGCTATTCTAGGCTGCACGGAACAGGCACGAGATCGTTGTTAAGCTGCTGCTCGATATAGGCAAAGTCGATGCCGACTCTAAGGACAGATATGGTCAGACGCCACTATACTTAGCTGCACGGAATGGGCATGAGGCCGTCGTCAAGCTACTACTTAATATAGGCAAGGTCGATGCCGACTCTAAGGACGGAGATGGTTAGACGCCACTATTCTTAGCTGCACGGAACGGGCACGAGGCTGTCGTCAAGCTACTGCTTAATACAGGCAAAGTTGACGCTGATTCTAAGGACGGAGATCGTAAGACGCCGTTATTATCGGCTGCATAGAATGGGCACAAGGTCATTGTTAAGCTACTGCTTGATATAGGCAAGGTTAATGCTGACTCTAAGGATGAAGATGGCCGAACGCCACTATTCTAGGCTGCATAGAACGGGCATAGGGCCGTCGTCATGCTGCTTCTTGATATAGGCAAGGTCGACGCCGACTCTAAGGATAGACATGGTAAGACGCCGCTATTCTAGGCTGCACGGAACGGGCACGAGGCTGTCTTCAAGCAACTGCTTGATATAGGCAAGGTTAATACCGACTCTAAGGATACAGATGGTGAGACGCCGCTATTCTAGGCTGCACGGAACGGGCATAAGGCCATCGTCATGCTGCTGCTCGATACAGGCAAGGTTGACGCCGACCCTAAGGACAGATATGGCCGGACGCCACTATACTAGGCTGCACGGAACAGGCACGAGGCTGTATTTAAGCTGCTGCTTGATATAGGCAAGGTCGATGCCGACTCTAAGGATAGATTTAGCTGGACGCCACTATACTGGGCTGCACGGAATAGGCACGAGATCGTTGTTAAGCTGCTGCTCGATATAGGCAAAGTCGATGCCGATTCTAAGGACAGATATGGCTAGACGCCGCTGTTCTAGGCTGCACGGACTAAGCACGAGATCGTTGTCAAGCTGCTGCTTAGTACAGGCAAAGTCGATGCTGATTCCAAGGACAGAGTTGGTTAGACGCTACTATTTTGGGCTGCACGGGACGGGCACGAGGCTGTCATCAACCTACTGCTTAATACAGGTAAGGTCAATGCCGACTCTAAGGATGAAGATGGCCGAACGCCACTATTCTAGGCTGCACGGGACGGGCATAAGGCCGTCGTTAAGCTGCTGCTCGATATAGGCAAGGTCGACGCCGATTCTAAGGATAGACATGGTGAGACGCCGCTAATCTGTGCTGCATAGAAGGGGCATGAGGCTGTCGTTAAGCTACTGCTCAATATAGGCAAGGTCTATGCCGACTCTAAGGACAGAGATGGCTAGGCACCGCTGTTATTAGCTGCTAAGAACGGGCACGACTTGGTCATGCGGCAACTTGAGTAATCGCAAGACTCACTATCATGAAATAATGACCAAATTACCTCCCCCCTACCCACCTCTGTTATAGCTAGCCTCCTTTAATACTCATTTTAGTGCCGCAGTTTATACATACCATTGAATTATAAATGCTTTGAAATCAGTAGGTCACAAAACGAATGACGATATGGCAAATAAGCCCGCCACCCATATTCCTAGGGTGGAGGTGATCGGATATTCAATTTTCTAGTGCAGCTGCGAGGTCACGCCTTTACCTCATGTGTTGTGGTTTGTGTTAGGGTGGAGGTACGGTACGGTACGATGCTGTGCTGTGCTATTGCAAATGCAAAACCGACTTTTTTCATATATATCCCACGTATCAAGGCAGTTCCGCTTCGAGCGCTAGATAGTGAAAGACGTATCTATACGATATTTGCAGTATCATGTCCATCCTTGCGCTGCACAGGTCAGCGTTGCCTAAGTCGGCGTCGCTGTTCGTTAGGTAGTTAGTCGGAAGGATTAGATAACTCGGTAGGGACATCGATGTTGTTAGCGGTGTCGAGTGGCTCCGTCGTAAGCATCGCTTGGTAGTTTTGGTCAGACGTGTCGAGTGCGGTGGTGGAGGTGCTAATTGTGGATTCCGAAGTTTCTGCAACCGGTTAGAAATGGGTATTAGGAAGAGCTGCGTGAGAAAAGTGTAGCATAAGCCATTTGGGCTGACCAACTCGCTCGCTGGCTGTAAGACTTGTGTCAGGCACAGTCCTGATCAACTATACACAGCCAAATAATGTCAGAAGCGAGTGTACATCGTAAGAATTGGGGGTGGTTTACGCTAACTAAAAATCGCTAGTCGCTTTGCCTGTAGGTATTAATTCGCGTGTCAGCCATGCATGAATTTGCGCCTTGTAGCAGCCACACGGTTGATGACGATCTCCCGCGTGGTTGTGAGAGCTTAGAGCTCAGGTACAATTCCTTTACATGTTTTGGGAATAGTAAGAGCTTGATGGTGGAGCTGTGGTGGAGGAACCCTGTTACGCGATAAAAGCAGACCCTCTGCAAATCTGCCATGAGGGCGATGACGCAAACATAATGTTCTAGAAGAGGGATCTGGGGTGTTCGGGGTGGCTAGAATACGATGTGAGCAAAATTATAGGAGATGTTGATATGCATATCTCTCAAGCAAAGGAGAAAGCGGCCGATTTGGCAGATATTGGCCACTTTTTGCTCCAGTTTGAGAGGGCAACTTAAAGTCCAATTCGGAGTATATCAGGGGGCACGGAACCCCACAGCAAGGCTTCGCAGGCCGCCACACACAGCCACAGCTCAGCAGCCACAAGCTCCTTGATCGCTTAATTTGGAGGTATCAACCCATGTGGCAACGTCGTATGACACAGCACTCCCTGGTCACCACAATGCTGAAAAATCATTTTCAGCTTTGTGGTGAGGCTCGGAAACCCAGATCAAAGTATTATATGAGTTTGAAAGGCACAAAGAAGCTGGTGGTGGTGCTGCAGGTCGAGGGGTTCTATTATGTTTCAATTGACGCCCTCCTCAATTAGGCGCAACGGCCACGGCGTGATTGTAAATTATAAAGTAGCTGGGGCTTGGACTGTTCAGGAGTGGTTATACAACACGACTGTCACAAAAATACTGGAATTTTCAATGGATTCACAAATTTAGGATCAATTGAATTCAAAGTACCAGTATTTGTCCCGTTACGAGGTGCGTCCCTCGATGCAGGGATGCACGTTAACTCTAAATTTGTAAATCCATTAAATGTTTTCTATATTTTTGTGTTAACGCATGCATTGTGGCTGACTAGAAATATCAGAAGACTTCGATAGCGATGATATAGTACCCATCATTTCTTCAGGCACTATTATTCTGAATACTTATTCTTTACCCTAAATTGAAGTATCCTCTGCTAGATAATAAGGCACATGTATCTTGGGGGCAGAAGCCGTCAACTCTCAGGGACTTTCGAACGCCAGCCTAAACCTGACCAAAGTGATCAGACGCACGGCCAGCGATCTGACATATCAGCAGCTGGTCAAGTCTTTCGGTAGCATCCTTAGGCATCTCGCCAACAACATCTTGCAGGTCGCGGCAAACCCTCTTCCATTACATCACCCATCGAAGAATATCCATTGAAATATCAACAACACTTGTGCCTATACTAGATTTGCACACCAACCGTAAAGCGCTAAAAATTCCACTGTTTCATCCAGATCGCCATCCACTGCGGCCCAACTACTTCTAATGCTTCCAAACTATTGCTTGCAGCCACAGCTTGCCGCACGTCTAGTCGTGCAATACTCCCCGACCTCGTCGTGCTTTGCCTATGGTGAAATTCTACTAGAGTGAGCGCCGGGTTCCTTGTGACACGGAGGGCCGGATCTGTTGCGGAGGCCTGCAGGGCGTCTATCCATACCGTAAAGGGCACAATTTGGATGTTTGTCTGCCCTCGATTGAGATGAGCCTGCACGGTTGGGAGAAGGGTCTTCCAGCTTGTGATGCGTGGATTCAGGACATGGTAAACCCGCGGTTTGACAGGCGGCTTGGTCTCAGAGGCTCCTACCAACTCGACTATGATTTTCGAAAGAACGTCAACGGGAATCCAATCCACCGTGTCAATGGCACCAAGGGTCTCGGGGAGCAAGCCAAGGTACTTGGAGCTGGACACTAAACTCGGGAGCCATTCTCGCTTGTTCCACACGCCCTGTTCCTGAGTCGGTCCAGCGATTTGGCCAACGCGGATCACAGTTACGGGGACAGCGGATCTCGCACTTGCGAGATCCAGCAGGCGCTCTGCAACGTGCTTTGACTCACAATATCCAAGGGGGGTAGCGGCACTGTAGTCATAGATGATTTCCTCGGGGACCTTGCCAGTATGATTTTCAAGCCAATTGGTGACAGTGGAAGCGCTAGAGATGAAGTAGAAGTTTGCTGCCTTCTTAGACGCGACGCTAAGATCAATTAAGTGCCGCACGCCACGGATATGAACATCGAAAGACTCAATCGATGATACGAAGTCGACTTGCCACGCGTTATGAATAATGTGCGTTGCGGACGACAGCAGCAATCCGTACTCATTTGCTGTCAGTCCCAGCTCACGCTCACCCAGGTTGACCTGGTAAAATTCTACGCGGTCGGCAGCGAGGTTGGTGGTCAATCCACGCCCCGTGTTGATGTCGACCTGCCGTTGGTGACTACAAACAGATCGATTGAGGCATATGACCTTACCCACCTTGGGATGCGCGAGCAAGGATTCTAGTAGATGAGAGCCCAGGGATCCAGTAGATCCGGTTAGAATGACGCTCCATGTATCATCCTGCACAGGTGAATGCCGAGCGACTGGCAGATCCATCGAATATTTTTCAACCAGTGCTCGCATCTTCTGCGCCCGAGACTCCTCCACTAGGTTTTCCGAGTGGCCAACACGACCTGGGTTGAACTGGATGCCTTCAATGGCTTCGATGCCTTCGCCTTCTAATATAATCGCACTGAGCAACTGGGACTTCAATGCAACCCTGCGCGATAGTACGAGGAGGGAAGCGTTTCCAAGGATCTCGAACAACGGCACATCCGCCTTCATCTCGCGCAACATCCAGTTGCGAAGCTCGACTGCGACGAGTGAGTCCACACCATATGCTGCTATTGGACGGTCTGAGTTGATATCGTCCCTTGGTATCATGAGAGATTTGGACAGCTTAGCTATGATCGCCTCGCATACGATCTGTGACGCCTCGGAGGTAGTTTTGGCTCTCTCCAGGGAATGGCGAACGCTTACGGCTGTATCAGTGGGTTCGCCCAGCAGCGTGGCCGACCTGGGGAGGAGATGAGAGAATTTGGGATCTCGAAACCAGAAAGGGATATCACCAGTGGGCGCGGTCTGGCCAAGCTTCGAATCTAGTATTTCGCGCGTATACAGTCCGGTGACGATCTGACAAGCCTGATCTCCGCCAGATCGAGTGATTGCAGATTGCAGTATGGCCATTAGTTCCTCCACGTGGATGTCGGCATAGCCTTGCCTCTTTAGGCTTGTCCGAGCCCCTTCATTCTCGGACACGAACCCCGCCCCTACGATGACGCCAAGGTCCAGAGTAACTGCAGGAAGCCCTTGTGCGGTCCGGTAATGTGAAAGGGCATCTTGGAAGGAGGATGCCGCCGCATAGTTGCTTTGGCCAGGGTTGCCCGATACGCTGACGGCAGAGGCAAGCATCACAAAAAAATCGAGCTCCGACTTGGAAAGTTGTTCGTGGAGATTCCAGGAACCTTGGACTTTGGGACGAAGAACTCGCTCGTAGTCTTCGACTCCCATCTTCTCATACAGGGTATCCTACCTAGTGTTAGTTAAACCGCGATAGTGGATAGGGAAGAGCGCACCTTCAAAACCATGGCGCACTGTATAACGCCACGGATTGCAGGCATTCGCCTGGCGATTTCCTCCAAAGCTTTCGCCAACTGTGCTTCACTACTGACATCGCAGTTATAGGTTGCGACGTTCACCCCTCCTTCCTCGAGGTCCCTCACAATCTGCCTCGCGCTCTCTTTATCCAGACCACTGCGAGAGAGAAATATGATGTTCTTCGCGCCGTGCTGCATCATCCAACGAGCAATCGCTCTCCCGAGACCACCCAGTCCACCCACGAGCAGGTAGGAAGCATCGTCTCGGAAATATGGCTGGACTACAGCTCGTGGTATAACCTAGATAGTCAGTCAGATTCTCATTTGGAAGTGGGATATTATACCTTGACTTGATCCTCTGCCTTTGGTATCACGACTATCTTCCCGGTATGCTTCCCCGATTGCATCAGACGGAAAGCAGCCTCAATTTCCGACATGGAGAATACAGTGATTGGCGTGATTGGGCTCAGCACCTTTCCCCGGAACATTTTCATGATTTCAGACAAGGTCTTGGCTCCGTGAGACATCCTGTGGTAGAAGATGGCCTCCAAATCAATCGAGGCAAACGTCACATGGCGCATAAACGGCGCCATTTCCAGGCGACTGTTTGCAATCATATCACGCTTACCGATTTCAACGAACCTACCAAACATGGCCACGCAGTGCCATGTTTGTCGAAGGGCCTCGCCAGCCAGGGAGTTTAAAATAACGTCGACGCCCCTGTTGTGGGTCATCCTCATGATCCCGGCGGCGAAGGAGGTGTCTCGACTCGAGAAGATATGGTCGCCAGGAATACCGTATTGTTCCATGAGGAACTTCTTCTTGTTCGCCGTGCCCACAGTGACAAATATCTCAGCGCCGATCAAGCGAGAGAGCGCAATGGCAGCTTGGCCAACACCTCCTGCAGCACTGTGGATCAAGACCGACTCCCCTCTCTGGAGACCGGCGGTGTCATACAACGAGATGTAGGCTGTACAGTACGCAACGGGTATCGATGCAGCCTCCTCAAACGTCATATCATCAGGTATTCGCTGGACGACGGCTCCAGCGGTGCGGAGAGAGTTGCTAAATGCACCACCTGCCCAAGCACACACTCGATCACCCACGATGAAGCCTGCGACGTTCTTTCCAAGCCGAGTGAGGACGCCGCTGCACTCGCAGCCTAAAGGCTCTTCTGTAATCTGGCCCATGGAGATCATGATATCGTGAAAGTTGAGACCGCACGCTCGTATCTCAATCTCCACCTCATCGTCTGGCAATGGAGGAGCCATTGTTGGATTATCCACAAACCTGAGCGTATCCAAGAGGCCGGGTTTTTCGATCTCCAAGCGGAGAAAACGGTTCGGTTGTTGGAAAGGTTGGATTTCAGCGCTTAACTGCCTAGTAGCGGCCATGACAGACTTGTTCATAGAGATATCCTCCAGGACACGGGGAATGAAGATGGCCCCATCCCTCTCAGCAAACTCAACGTCACAAATCTGCTCCTCGGCGTTGAGATCGAATGCTGATCTGAAGACGTCAAGAATGACCTGCGCAGCTCCTTGCTCATCTAGCTGTCTCTGGGCATCAAGATCAAGAGTGACAAACTTCGAAGCTTGGCTCTCACACCTCAGCGCACGTGCCAGTCCGGTGATAAGACTGACGGCTGGTGTCTCGCAGAGAACAGTACCACCACGAGACAGCCACAATACACCTCTGGCTGTTGAGAAGATACCCTTGATGTGGTCAAATTGGTCGGGTTGAGGTTGCCTCAACAGCGGCGTATGCAGCTCGCCCAGAAAAATGCAGACTTTGCCATCTCCCTGAGCATCTTCCAATGAGGAAACGGCAATACACTCCCCGGTTAAGCTTTCAAGGGATGCCCTGAGAGCATCGAGAGACACTCCCACCGGCGATCCATCGTGAACTATTAGAGCTGCGGGGTATCTCGGCTCGTGGCCATCAGTGGCTGTTGACGCTATCAGGCTCGTCAGATGATCCTGCTCGCTAGGATAGTCCCATACGCAAACATCCAGACCAGTGAAGCCTTGTCGCTGAAGCAAAGTCCCCCAACTATCTTCAGACAGAGTAGGGCCCATCTTTCGGCACTCTTCTGTACCTAAAGGGATGGTCAGAGTTGAGGAGAATACGAAGTGGTCATTTCTTACCTAACCACCAACCTGGCAGGGTCCCAAATACCACCGACGCACGTAGCAGGACGTGAGTAATCTCAAGGAGGATAATCTTTCCGTTTGGCTTAAGCAGCTTCCGGACATTCTTCATTGTGTTGTCCATATTCCGCGTTGCGTGCAGAACATTGGCGGCGATAACCAAGTCGTATTTGCCGTTCTCGAAACCTTGGGTGACAGGATCACACTCAATATTGAGCTTTTTGAAGCTGATCAAGCCCCCCCAGTCGGCGAACTTTTCCTGGGCCTTTTCAAAAAATCCGCTGGAGATGTCAGTAAAGTCGTAATGGATGAAGCGGGCGCTTTTGCCACTATAACCTCCAAGTGTTTGTAGGACTGGCAGTGTGCCACCCCCTGTGCCCGCCCCTATCTCTAGAATACTCATGTTCGGCCGCTTGTGGGCTAGCTTGTCGACGTAGCTGGCTACTTGGATAGAGTAGCGGTCTGCACCGATGGCTTTACCATAAAACTCGTGGAGAAGGTCATCCTCGAGCATCAATTCCAGAGGCTGGATTTCTCTCCTCAGGATCCGAGCCAGGCTTCCACCTACTCGACAGAGCAGCTGACCGTCGACACTTGAAGCCTGTGCCACACTCAAGGTCTCTTTTCTCTGTTCGAGCCCAGCTGCTAAGCCAAGCGCAGTTACGTGCTTGAGCCCTCCCTCAGTCGCCAGCTTGCACTGGTATTTCATCCAATTGTAGTAGAGCTGATGATGTGCCTCCATACTCTGGTAATCCGCATCCGTGAGGACTTCCAAGGCATCTTGCATGTAGTAAACAGACGCGAGTTCAAGATTGGAGATGGTGGCCGAATCAGTTGGATCTTGTTCTGCGCCCCACAGCCTCTTAGCGGTCTCGCGCTTGATTGAGTCGACGTCCGGCTCCCAACATAGCTTGAAGCAGAGTCTTCTAGCTTCCTCCTGGTCGACAGGGTTGGTATTTCTAAGAAATACGCAGGTCAAGCCCTTTATCTCAATAACGGGCTTCGAATTCAGCTCCGAGGCATCCACGACACCAATCGTAGCCTTGACTTCGCGAGCGCCATTGCGAGATGCAGACGCATGCACGAGGAATCTGTGTCCAGGAGAGTTGTTGATATCTCGGGAGATGAAGAGCTCCCCAATGAATGTTGGCAACACGGGATCCTGCAGCTGAGCATTCCCTCGTGTCAATGCGGGGAAGATAGCTTGAAAAACTGCATCGAGAGTTGCAGGATGCACCACGTGGGGATATTCAAAGCGGTGAGGCATGACGGCGCTCGTGTCAGGAATTGACACGGTACAGAGAGCTTGGTGAGGACCTTGTCGGATGTTGACGAAATTTCGAAACGTATCTCCGAACTGGACCCCTGCGGACTCGAGCGATTCGTAGACGTTCCCGATATCGACGCTCTCTGTACAAAGTGACACAGCATTTGCGAATCTCAGCTGACTCGAAGTCTCTGCCTCCTCCGCCTGTCGACCCCCATCGACTTCTGTGGGCTGTGAGGCGATCTCAGTCAAAATGAAGCCTCGGCAATGCTCACTCCACCCTTCCTGTCCATTGTGTGAGAAGACGCGAAACTCCTGCCACGTCTCTAAGGAGCTGAGATTATTGTCGGTAGATGGCCGCAGGGTGAAGCTTGTTTCAATGCCCTCAGCAGTCTCTGGGATAACAAGCGCTTTGCTAAACCTGACATCTCGCAGCCTATACCCAGTGACTAGTTCGCCCTGTAGGCCTTTACATTGGAGAGCAGCTTCGATAGCCATAGCGACAAAACCTGCTGCCGGATATAGAATGCTCGACTGTATTTTGTGGTCCTTCACCCAGGGGATGTCGGAGACGCGAATGATGTTTCGCCACTTAGGCTCCAGATCGTTGAAGTCGGGGACGGGAGCGCCAAGAAGATCGTGACGAGGATGCTGTCTAAAGCGATAATTCAAGCTCAGGCGAGATTCGTGCCAGTGACTAGCCATGTGGTTCCACGGATATGGAGGCAAGTCGACGATGACCTGCCGAGACTCGGCGCCATTGGGAAAGTTGACTGCATCTAGATCGACCGGATATCCACTCGCAAACAAAGTGCAGACTAATTGCAGCGCTGCGCGTACTGCATCTGTATTTCGAACCAGCGTCGGTGCATAAGCAATCCCAGCGCCCCGCAACTCCGAAGTGGCCAGGGTTTGTTTAATAGGTCCAGCGAGCGCAGAGTGTGGGCCAATCTCAACCAGTAAGTCAACCGCGACTCCCGAGGCGTCAAGACGGTACTGGGGATCTCTTCCAGGCTCGAGGCATAAATTACGCAGAGACTCTGAAAAGCGCACGGGCGAGACCATGTGCCTCACCCAATAAGGCGCGTCCAGCTCCGTTGATTCGGCAAGGTTGCCGGTCACTGAGCTCCAATAACCGATAACCGTGGAGGAGTTGGTGCTCAATTCTCTCAATGCCAGGAGGTAGTCGTTTTCGATGCTTTGCATATGGTGCGAATGATAAGCCGTGTCAATTTTGAGCTTCCGAGCGAAGATTCCTTCGCATTCCAGCATTTTGTGCAGCTCATCAACAGCAGCAGCATCTCCAGAGACCGTGACACTAAGGGGGCTGTTGATACAAGCGACAACGATCCGACCAGAAGTTATAGTGGATATATGGGTCTCAGCATGCTCTTGCGACAAGCCAACAGCCATCATTGCGCCTTGAAGCTGTGTGGACTTCTCCGCCATAGTCATGGTGAGAAGTCCTCTAAAGTAGGATATCGATATAGCTGATTCCATGGTTAAGGCATTTGCGGCGTAGGCAGCCGCAGCTTCACCACTTGAGTGGCCCACTACTGCGATAGGTTTAACACCCCATGAGGCAAGTAGGTCCACCAGCGCTATTTGGATCGCGGTCGACAGCGGTTGACTTATGGAGGCAATATTCACACGTGTACTTTGTGCATCCCGGCTCAGTTCATCTGAGTACTCTATTAGCTTATGCAGAAAGGTAAGAGACGAGACGGACGTACCAAAGATGGACCAAGTCGCCCCGAGGATTTCCAGGTGACTTTGAGCGGCGACCAAAGCGGATTTAAAGATGGGATACGCATCGATCAACTCCCGGCCCATCGCGTACCACTGCGCCCCTTGGCCCGTGAAGACAAAACCGAGCCTGGGAACTTTCGAAGTTCTGCTAGGCTTGATTTGCCCTTGGAGAGTCTTGAGCAAGTCGGCTGGTGAATTTGCTGGAACCGCTACTTTCCATGGCAAGACAGAGCGGCGTTGGCCAAGAGTGTACGCAAGGTCGATCAACCAGTTGCTTGGTTGGGCGACCATTTTTTCCTGAAGATAGTCTGTCAAGTTTCTAATGAGCAACTCGCAGCATTGCTGGTCGTTTGAAGTCAGGACGAAGACTCGTCCTCGATCGTCTCCTCCGCATATCGATGCGTCCTGAGCAGCAGCTACCAGCGGTGGAGCCGTACGATGGGATCCTTTCCAGCCGCGCGAGGACAAATAGTGGTAAGAGTCCTCCAAGATCGCGTGCGCATTAGTGCCACCGAATCCAAAACTATTGACGGATACCCGACGAGGGCCAGCGGATGGCCAGGGCTCCAGATGCAGTGGTACCTTGATAAATTAGCTCTCGTACTAGAGTGGAAGAGTGTTATACCGTCAGGTTCCATTCCTCGAGCGGGATACGCAAGTTAGCCCGCTCGAAATTCAAGCTAGGCGGGATGAGACCTTTCTCAAGCATCATGACAGCTTTGATTATGCCAGCAAGACCGCTCGCACCCTCCAGATGACCAACATTGGTCTTGATGGAGCCTATCCGGAGAGGCTTGTCCGCCGGTCTTCCAAGCCCAAGCGTATTTGCGATCGCCGCTGCCTCGATCGGATCCCCAGCTGGTGTTCCCGTACCATGCCCTTCAACGTAACCTGTGTCAAGAGGATCGAGACCAGCTCGAAGATATGTCGACTTAATAAGACGTTCTTGCGCCTCGCCACTTGGCAGTGTGATACCGGACGTCCTTCCGTCTTGATTCACCCCGCTCTCTCTAATCACAGCCCGGATTGGGTCGCCGTCACGAATGGCGTCGTTCAGGGGTTTCAAGACAATACAGGCCACACCCTCTCCACGGGCATAACCAGTTGCACGGTGATCAAAGGTGTAACACTTGCCATCCGGTGAAAAGAATCTGCCATTCATCGTGAGCCGCGGATTAAATTTTAAAGACGTTCATTCTTCTCATACCTCATCGGAGTCATCTTTATCATCATATCAGGGCTGAATATCAAGTTGGCGCCTCCAACAATTGCTTGCTTCGACTCTCCGCAGCGTAGGCTTTGACACGCCAGGTGCACCGCAACTAGGCTTGCAGAGCAGGCAGTATCAACAGCGATGCTTGGGCCATTAAGGTTGAAGAAATACGATATGCGATTGGCCATGATTGATTGGGCATTCCCGAGGGCTTGATATAGTGGACCCCTCTCCGGATCACGCTCTAGCATTTCGGTGTAGTCTTTGGTAAATGATGCTGTAAAGACCGACGTGTTGCTTCCACTGAGATTTCCTAAGGGGATTCCGGCTGGCAAAATATTAGAGAATATGAATTACTTAGATGATTGGGAGTTACCATTTTCCAGAGCTTCATAGGCGCACTCTAGCTGCATCCTCTGCTGAGGATCCATTGCCTGATATCATAAGTAGTGGTCATGCCAACATCACAGCATATATCTCACCTTCGCCTCGTTTGGACTAACGTTGAAGAACTGAGCATCGAAACGAGAGAGATCTTGCTTAAGAAAATAGCCACCCCGGGTGTTCATCTACAGGTCAAGAGTCAGAGTGGCAAGCGAGGAATCTGATGGTAGGGCCATACGACACCGTTTCTATCTATATTCGGATGATAGAACGCGCTCGCATTAAACCTATCCGCAGGAAATTCGGACCAAGCATCCCGAGCCTCTGAGCAGAGCTCCCAGAGTTTCTCAGGGCTTGTAGCATCACCCGGAAAACGGCAGCTCATACCGATGATGGCAATGGGCGTCCGTGCATCCTTGACACTACTATCAATGAGGCTCATGGGGACAGTACTAAGTCTATCCGGTCCTCCATCAAAATCATTGACGGGAGAGGTAGATGCTGATATGCTACTGGCATGGCTATTCGCCCCTCCTCCAGAGCTAGCTATCTCGTGCGTCTTGAAGGAAAGGCAGTCAGCCGCGCCAACGTGTTTCGGTTCAGTTGAACGTTGCATAGTCGAGTGTGCTGACGGAAGCCCGAGAACAATGCTTCGAAGGAATTAAGTTTCGGGTTGCTTCTCGCGCAGGACAGGATAAGATGGCAATATGCGTTTACTAGAAAACTCGGTGCCTTCAATATGGAGAGTGCCAACATTAAGTACGAGATTGCGGTGTCGATGGACTTCACGCGTGCTCTCGAGTGGCAGGATTGAAACTTCCCCTCCAATCATTCACACCGTGGCCATGATCCCTTAATCATCCAGTGGCTGACCACCAGAATGGCCCTTAAATCCATTTCAACAAGATGGATTTCTTTTCCGGCTACATAGTTTTGCCATGCATCCCGCTGCACCTTACAACGAGTAGGATGTGCACCGAGAAATAACTTTGACAGCCGGGGTCATAATCATGCGCTAAACGGACCCTTCGTTGATGGTTGCAGGACGCTCGTTATAAAGTGTCTTACGGCAAGTCGTGGCTCAGCATTCTGAGGCGGCCTCTTGTCTCAGTTTACTCAGCTCACGGTTACTCCGCGCTCTTGGCATGATCATTTCGTAGATCCGGAGGCCTCCCTCCACGACGCCTAAGTCCAGCCCTAGAAGCAGGAGGTGAGGTAGAGTGAATAGTCTCACTGTGCTCCTAAAATTGCTGTCAGCTTTGGTTTCGACGCGAATGGGTCGTAGCCACGTCACTGGCACCTGACTGAAGATAAAACAGCCTTCCAGGTGTACATGCACATCAATGGTAACACGGATGCCAATGAGAGCATTCGTGATAACCGGAAATGGGATGTGACTAAAAGTTTAGACAAGTTGACTTCAACCTCCTCTCTCTTTCGGCAATCGACGATCTGTTGATCGGCAATCATACCACTGATTGTGTTGCGACTGGCTATCGCTCACCGACTTTTAAGGGTATTGGTCCAGTGTGTCCAGTGGATTGTGGGCATCGGATCGACTATCACTCAATTAACTTATCATATGATCGATCTAATCACCTATCGCGATGGGTGGATGTTCATCATCGTTCGAATGTATGAGACAACAATTCTGGTTTGAAGGATGGCTCCGGTTAGTATGCCAATACTTGCACTTTCAAGCCTCGTCGAAAACCTTCCTCCTGCTGTCGATGACTCGAGAATTCATGTCGTGTCGCGTACGGAGCGAGATGGGCTGCTACTACATCCTGATCCTGTCCCACCTGATTTAAATAGGTTCTTTACAAATGAGTCTTCACCAATCAACACAGAGTACCACCGCCGCGATGGCATCTTTGGTCAGGGAGTGGGTTGCTCTCATGCTTGTGGCTTGAACGGATTTTTAATTGAGACTCAAGTGACATCGAAAGTTAACTCAGAGTCAGCTCTGAGAATTCCTAATTGTCCGTAACTCGGCCCCCTTGCATCAATCGACTGGCTTTCCGGCATACCAAGTCTTTGGCACACGTCAATGCTATAATATCTGAAATCCACTCTCTGCAATCCTATGTTCAAACCTACCTCACGTCCAGATCGAGCCTTTGATTTTGACTATTACACCATATTTATTACAGTGCAATGTAGGATCGCAGGAAAACAGGCCCACTATTCATGTCTTGCTACGTATATGTCTAACCATGCCCTGGTGTCTAACTATACCCTGGTTAGACACACATGTAGCAAGACATGAATAGTGTACCCTATTGCATAATTACGGTTTGGACCCTTAGTTATTGGCTGCATTGTATACTTTTAGCTTTCAGCTCGCCCGTTGTTTAGCTAGAAGCGGTGTCTCCCCTGATATGGCAAAGAACTGCAAGTGCCAATAATGAAGATTTTTCGATGTAAATGGCTTTCGTTATATTGGCTTGAGCCGGCTCAGAGTGGTGGTGCCAAGGATCGCCGTCCTGATTGGGCCTGGTGATCGGCGGTGGCAGCTGTGGCACGACAGCTCCTGTCACCGTGGCACGGAGTAAAACTCAACAAATACTACATTGCATATGCACTCCCCAAAGCGTGTCTTAAAATCCGCTTTCCGATATCTGTGGCCAATGTGACATTTCTCAGAGGATATAACGTGTACGTAGCATTAGGAGCAGGCATACATTAGCAAAGCAACTACAAGAACCATACGCTTGGGCCACCCGCAATTTGTCGCCCTTTGACCACGTGATCTTAACAGTTTTTGGTTCACCCGCGGAATGTATTTAGTGCCGAATCTGGAATAGTGTACTTATGACTAATACCGGAAATGTTCGTGGAGCCATGTTCGTGGAGCCACTCTCGTAAGAAGTCAGCCACAATTAGCAACCGTAATTTGATCCACAGTTTAAATCGCAATTTGAAAACGACAATAATATTATTTATCTTATGACTGTCGTAGGTCCCGCATTTTCCCCCTCTACCTTCTCATCCTCATTCTTTGGCCAACCTGTAATTATTTAGAAAATTCTTTCCGGCTATTAAACCTCATAAGCTAAGTAAAAAATCCGCTAACTGAATGATTAACTTTTGAGGATTTGCCCATAATACTACGAAACAGCTGCAACCTTAAAAATAACTTATGGGACCTCGTTTTTAGACGAATTCACAGTCCTAGGCTTTCCTCGGTGTATTGCTCGGTAGGTTGATGATGTCTACAAGTAAAGCAACGTTAGTTATGTGCTGCATCATGTTGTGGGAAATCAGGCCCCCTGATGCTAGTGGCCTGTACAAGTCAGGGGCCTAGCGCCATGGTTGTATGAGTATTTCTACAAAAACGGCGGCAGCAAGCCAAACTCGTCACTTGTCGACGACAAACGTTCTCCGACATGGCTCCCTATACACACGTTCAATGGCTTAGGTTAGTTCAAGACCAAGGTGCGGTTTCTATACACCACTTAGGTCGGCTGCAAAATATAGCAAATTCACTCCCGCGTCCTTCGAAGCAATACCCATCAACTTTGCTCTTCGTTAGAAAAGCATCTAAGTCCGCTGCCCTACGTGGCATATACCATAAAAGCCAGATCTTAAATTATTGAAATTACGGCATTGCAAACATCTGTCTCGATCCTAAGACTACCGACGACACATATCCCGTGCTCATTGCCAACGCCTCTCTAGATGGGACAGCTGGTACTAACCTAAGCTCAACTAGAGAGAAGTGTCATGAGACTACTTGTCATCCATTAGACTAGTCGACTAACCTAGACGCGACTCCTCGCCGGCAGGATCTAATGGATATTATTTAGGCTCGCCTACTCGCAATGTTTGTTAACGTTATTTGCATCTTTGCAGATGATTGCGGAGGTCTCCCTAGCGTGGTAGCAAAGCTTACCACCTAGGCAAAGCTCAATTCTGCTTCTAGTTTGCCGAGCACAGTTCGACCTCGTGTACTAGTCGTCACTTGCATGCTAGGAGAGATATTTGACTTAGAGGTCCTGCGTTTTCAGTCGCAGCTCTTTTCCACCGCTACCTTCTCCAGCTGTTTCTTCTCGCTCAATGTTATAAACAGGCTACCTAAGCCTCGCATTGCATATAAGTCTGATTTTACCGCTTTAGAGTCGCTGTTGGCTTAGGAGACTATAGCTGCACGGCAAACTCAACTTGATTCTCATACTCTATTTTCTTCAATACATTTAGCTGCATTTTTTAAGAAGGCGTTGACTAGGTTTTCAAAGACGCCTAAGGAGACGTTTAACTTCATACGCGCCTTAAGAGATGGAAATATGGTGAACAGCGAATTCTAAGACCACATCAACGAATTCTTGTGCTTGTCCCTAGAGAATAAATTACCTAACAACATCCCTATACCCTTCATCTCGTCAGCTATTTTATTCAATAGCTTTCCTCCTAGCATGCATTGTAAGTATCACTCAATTTTACTGCTCGCATACTAACAGAAGTTAGTATTCAACCCATCCCATGTGTTCGAAACCTTATATCGTCCACTCGTACTCCATGGGTTTCGACATTTTGCAGCTTCCTAGCAGCTATTAAGTGAATTGATTTGCAGAGACATTAAGACAGAACTAAACAAAATGTTCTTAGAGATGCAAAATGCTGGACGTTCGGCTGTTAATCTTCGCATACAAGCACTATGCCGTTATAGTGAGTACTAGGGCGTATTAAAAACGACTAGGCTATGTCTTTACTGCCTCTAAAGAAAGCCAGAACATGTGCTAGACTGCTATCATACAATTTACGACATTTGTCTCACCACCTTTAGAGAGCTGGATAAGGGTTTAGAGTATCATTATAACCTAACCGCCTACCTCATCTACCTAGAAAACATTTGTTTTTAGGGAAGGGTTATGCCTCCTACATGCCGTGCACGAGTTGTTAGCTTTGACGGAGGTAGATGTCGCGGAATAGTTTCACTAACGTTCTTTGATGAAATGCAAGATGCCTTTAGACTTAATTATCCCATATAAGACCACTTTGATTTAGGAATAGGGACAAGCTTAGGTTGGTTACTACTAGCTCAAAGCAGATGCTATAATAACTAACACATAATAGGAGCTGTTGGCCTAGCTGCCCTTTTTATAATGCACTAGGATACAAAGACGTGTCTCCATTTCTAGCATAAGTTTATAACTCGTGTTTTTAAAAAGATCATTCTGCGATCTACGATTGCAAAATGTTAGTGGTACCTTACGTCATACTTTGCTGATGGTCTATACGATGCCGTGCTTCTAGAACAAGCACTATAGGAAAAGTTCTAGCTTCGCCGTCTATTTGGCCTAACAGGATTAAGACCGTCCGGCATGAAGGTTGTAATAACTGCAACTACAATCTCTAATGCCACGCTGTGTCTTTTTACAAACTACAATGGAAGTAGTGACTATAGGGATTCACGTAGAAACTTCCCGCCTATTGTTCGCATCTGCTAATGGAGCAACAGAATGCAAACACATCCGCCCCTATAGTGCTTTAGATGAAGTGCTTCTTTGGGAAGCGTGAGTATCTTTAGTTGCGTAATATACAGCTACTGACTTCTTAAAAGGCTATGATGTACGACAGCGGCACCTTGGTTAGTAAGCGCAAATTGAAATTAATCAACTATAGCTGACTTGAAAAGGTACTATAAAACCAAATTCCTAGAGGCATTTGGCACGTTCTAAGATGGTGGATTGAAGTACAACAACCCTTTAAGGCTAGGGCGTCGGCAGGTTCAACGCATATGGAATGATGAGGACTGCGACATAGTCTTATCTATAGGTACAGGTTTTAAGGAGCAGCTAACGTCACCTAAAGCCCCTAACGTTCGAAATCTCTTCTAGGACGGTGCGATAGCACGGCTTTATCGAGCTTCCATGTCGTTACTGTCGTTAGATAGCGGTAATAGCTAGAAAGATCATTGGCATGGGCTGGAGAAAGACATAAAAGGACAGCATTTCTGCCTTAATGTACCGCTAAAAGGCAGGGTGCCTAATATCGATGAGGTAGACTAGATGGCCGACCTCTAGGACTAGGTACGAAACAACCTAGGCGACATGGATGGGCTTGCTAGGGCCTTTAAAGCAGTCTCCTTCTTCTTCGAGCTTAACGAGCCCCTAGTACGCGAGGGTATTATTTACGTGTGTCGTGGATCTATTCTATCTCGAAGCCCTAATAGTCGAGCTCTAGTGCAAAACATAACATCTAGATACCCTTATTCTCGATTTATAACGGATGACGAGGTTTCCTTAGGATCACTTAGCCTTGATGATATCTGCTAGGATTGCAGTCGTTTTCAAAAGAAAGTCACAATCTCTGTTCGGCATCTAATTGATGTAGTCGATCTGCTCTTGTGTTGTAGCAGGCTATTTCGGCGAAGCATTAGCGGATTTCCTAATCCCATGAAATGGTTTGAAGAGCGACAGAATTTGAAGGCTACGTTTGGTCGGGCGGACCATAGCGAGGCCAATGCCTTATCTAACTCGGACTGCAGCTGCGTTCATCGACGTCGTCACATGGATTTAACAGATAGATCGACACCGCGAAAACGACCCTACGGCCTGGTAGGCATGAGGAGGAGCAAGAGGCGCCGCTTGTAGATTGCATTAAAATTTCGTATTAGAATAAACCTACGCTGGCAAAATCCCAAGTTGAGAAACATATATACTTAGAGCTGTGACTGTTCAGTGAGCTCTAAACCTCGGCCCCATTTTATAAACTATTTAAGCGTAATACTCTGATATTTCATCGCCGTATTATGTTTCTTCTAAGAACGCTCGATGCAACTCACCGTCACAATCAATTCTAGGTTTAATAAGGATCGACTTGTAAATTTAGGCCCTACTAGAGTATTGATGTAAGTTAGGACTGGCTGATGTGCTGTACATATTTGATACGAATGGCGACGTGCTTGTATTGCTCATATGCACAATTCCATTAGTCTTTCTCAATGCTTCGTAGCATGATGAGTTCTAAGAGATCTTGATTTAGCACCTGAAGAAAGAGCTATTGCTTAGGATGACACATCGCTGTTCGAATCCGGTCACGACGAGGAACCCTTGGATATACAGCCATGTGCCTTAGTAAGATTATACTATTTTCGACAGGCTTGGTCAGCATATTTTTGCCCGGCATAGTAAACAGGTACCGGAAAACTATTAGGTACCTGCCTAATCAGGTACTAGGGAAGAGTCAGGTACCGGAAAACTATTAGGTACCTGCTTGATTAGGTACCGGAGAAGAGTTAGGTACTGGAAAACTATCAGGTACCTGCTTGATTAGGTACTGGAAAAAAGTCAGGTACCTGCTATATTAACAGTCTTATGTAAGGCAACTTTTCTAAGAGCATCTGCTACAGTAAGTCACCTAATTGGTTCAATTTATATTTGCTCTTCTGGTCCTTCTTCTATAGTAAGGAGGGCCTTATGGGGTAAATCTGTATTCCCTGTTTCACTTAATCTTAGTCTATTTCTCGCAGTCGCCCTTGCTGCATGTGCCTGGTTATTCCTGGGGCCACCCTCTCCTGTTACGGCAGGTTCGAGTACCATTATCCTTCTAGTCTCGGTCTCAACTAAGGCATTAAAACACTCACTCTACAACTAATGTGTGCCCCGCTCATCCATTAAGGAGAACCTAGCATTTGCGTATGCCACGGCTCTTGCCTCCACCCTAGTGCAAGTAAACATCGACGTTGTGCGGATGTCTCCGGTTTGTGATATGAACTCAACATTCAATTCAGAGCTCTTCGGTATTTCGCTCTGAGTGAATGCAGTGGGTTTAGGCTGCGATGTAAAGCTAGTGTTCACTTTAGAGCTGTGCTGTATTCCGTCTTGCTCGGTAGCAGTTGGCACAAGGTTTGTGAAAATTCTGTCACCTGTCTCGCCCCTCATTGCTGTGTCACCGGCAGTAGGAATAGATGTTTCGGAAATCCCTTCCCCTCTACCGCCTGGCATGAGTGGCTCTAAGGTCTCTAGAATACTAGTTGTCCTAAAAAAGGCCTGGTATATGGATCTTTTAACATAAAACGAACTAATGTTATGGCTAAATTTTGGGAATTCACTTAAAGGTGCATGCATCTTACGAATGAAGAGATGGAGGCGGTCCTCATCATCTAGCGGTCTACTGCGGTAACGTCCACATCTATGAGATAGAGGTTCACCTATTCCTTGCGTAGTGAGAGAAGGCCTCGATACGGCACTAGTAGCTAGAGTTGAATTTGAAAGGTATCCTTTGAAGAGAGCTAAGAGTGCTTCTAGTATGGGTTCGTTAACGCTGAAGATCTCTTTTGGTAGGCTGTGTAGCATATCTGCAAGAAGCCTCTTACTAGGATCTATCAATGCATCTTGATCTGTCTTAATAGAGAAGCCTATGCGTTGGCTAAATGCTAAGAGTCTAAACCCTAGATACCGCTTTATACTATCGACAGTCTGCCTTATTGGGTTCATATCCTTTTTAGACGAAACACTTAAGGGGTTGGTGAAGTAGCGTATCGCTGCTAGGAACAGTTCACGATATGCAAGGCCAAACAGATAGTTGTGATCTCTAGACACCGTCGTATATGATGTTTTACTATCTTGGATCTTAAGAGGCCCTCTATTACCCTCCGGTCGGAAGAGTGGCAGAAAGCCTACGCGGAGACTCTCTTTACTACCATTCAGCAAGAGAGCCCGCATTGCTCTAGCAGCTAGGTCAACGTACCTAAGGTCCTTAAATAACGTATAAATACTCGGTATTGGCTGTTTAATTCTAAGTAACTGCTGTAAAATTCTAGATTGAGCAGCTGGGTCCTTGATTGCTAGAAACAATCTACTAGACAGCATTTCTGCCTTAATGTATTAGGAGTCCATCTTACATATAGCGGGAGCTCGTAGCTAGATGCTCTTCACAGAGGCACGATCAACGCCATGTATGAGGGAATTATCCCCTATTATGCGTGTTATTGTATTCTTTATTAGATTGATGTAACAGGCTATTTCCTAGCAATAAAAGTTAGCTATGGGATAGACGATTAGGCAGTGAGCAGGACCTCGTCGCATTTGATTAACAGCAGTATATCTAAAGACCTAAGATGGAAGGCATTCTAGTAGCCTCAGAAATGTATGATAGATTTAAGGGCATTAATGATGGTCTAACGGTTAAGCAATCTGTTAAGGTCTATTTCTTTGTTGACACTAATTCGGGCACGCCATCGAGCTGCTTCTTCTCGTTTATTCTGGAACCGGCAGAGGATTATTTAGCAGAATATCTCTCCATCGGTATAATTAGTCGAATAAGTGCGACCTTCTCTAAGCAATTGGCGTGCTTTGTCGTCGAGTCCTGCGTATGGCTGTTAGTAATAATCAGTGTTGTGATTCTCACACGTGCCCTGTCCGTATATATCTATAAGCCACCATTTATTCCTAGATACGAGGAGTCCATCTGCTGCAGCAACCCTATGCTGACCATGTAGGCACGCTAGCTGTATATTGTGTGGGAGCTCGAACTTTGCTAGAGAAAGTATTGAGTTGGCTTTGAAACGGTCGGCGCTAACACCTAGTTCTTCTAGAGCTAGCGCGAGGGAATTATCGTCTATTACAGCTAGGAGACTAAAGGTACTATCTTGCTAAAGGCATCCTTCACCCTTAAAATTGCGCCTGAGATTCTTCACGAGCTTAGGGTCGATAGGGCGAATTGGGTTTGGAAATGACAGTTGCGACAGGTGCACTCGTGCTTTTCCCTTTAGGTGAAGTGTCTTGCTCTTAACAAACTGCTGCTCTAACGATGCTAGAAGCTCCAATCTAGGGCCATTTCTTACCGAATCGTTAGGCGTCATTAGAAACGTGGAGTTTTGTATTCTTATTGTCACCTTAAAGGATGTTGTTTGATCTTGCCATCTTTGCGGGTCATGGGTATTCGTCGTTTGTCCCTCCTGCCTTAGCTAGGGTGCCTGCTTCTGGTGGCCCCCTCAATTGTAAGGGCCATAATTAAAATCCTTTATTTACATACAAAAGTACTGCACGAATTTATACTTAGATTCTTTAAAGACAGTGGTCTTTAGAATCGAGATCATAATGTCAACTAAATCCCTAGAATCGCGACGGTTAACTCGTTTTCCGGGGGTTGGATCTGAAAGGCTCCGACAACCACAAACACCTAATAATAATCTGCAAGACGGAGAAAAGTCTAGCAATAGAGGAACTCGTTTTCCTAGAAGTCTTGATTATGACTTTACTCTCTTGATGGGCGCAAAGCTAGAAGAGCCGGCTCTAGAGAGGCGGAGTCTAAGACTAACGGTTCCACATATACCTCTCTTAGTAAACACCGGCAATGCGACTCCTCGTCAATCTATTGTCATAGATTAGGTGGGGCTTTATTCATTACCTATAGTCTGGCACGAGAATCCATGGCTTAAGTACACATGTTTGCGAAGGATGAGACGGGGAAGTCTCGTGCAAGTGGCCTGCACCAAGTCAATACCGACGGCGATGGTGACGGTAAAGGAGACTAGAAAGCTCCTTGAACTTGATCAAGTAATCAAATTTCGACACTTAAACCTAGTTGTCTTCATAGGGTGTTATAAGTACGACGGGAAAACGATGCTGGTTTCCGAATATGCACAAGTCTCTCTAAGGCAGACTATCGCTATTCCGTATGATTTCGAGAAAACTCATGTCTCTAAAGTTTGCAGTTAGGTATATTACTCATAGCCGCTATATATGCCGTGCTGATTATACAGGTCTTCGAGGGCATGTTATATCTATCTAGGCACAGGTTCTCTCATAAAAGTTTAGATAGTTCTAAAGTCCTACTTCAATCTGATGGTATTGTCAAAATAGGTAGGGTCTAGTACTTTTCGTATATCCCCTATGCTTATACTTACAGCCTATATTGAATCCTGCTAAGAAACCGGATTCACTCCTACCCGCGGGCTTAGGCTGCTCGTACTTGAAATGATACAGAAGGGCGTTATCCTAAAACATATACAAGAAGGCGGCAAACTCGTGCTAAATCTTCCAATTCTTTAGTCGGCAGAGCTTATAAACTTCTTAGAGATTACCTCCCACTGCTCTTTAAGTAATATAAAAATGGTAACATACTACCTAACCTGTGAGAAGCTACTCAAGCTGATAAAGAATAGAATACGTTTTTGAAAAGCTTGTCGCTAACCATTCTGATCCCTTTTATTAGCTATGCTTAACTAGAGGCTATTGCTCCTCAGATTAAGTCTAGTTCGGGATAGCAATAGAATATCACATTTTGAGCTTCGCATCGGCATTAGTTATATTTTTATCGCACCAAATGTTTGCAGGCAAGCTAACGCAGGTAATTATGGTATTAATAGTGTATTTAATTGTTGATCATAAACTAAATCACTTTGTGGTTAGATCTAACACCAATTTCACCTCTCCTGTCGCGTGCTGTTTAAAGTTGTGTGGTGACACCATATTAAAGCGGTGGGTGTCTTGCTATATTTTAACAGATTTAGCCATGCATAATGATATAGTTTAGCTTGACTTACTATATCCGCCATAGATGGTGGCCAATCATCTCTCTCGATAGATTTATAAATGTGGTACTGACCACGCTGAAATACAACGACAGCTACATCAACATTACATAGCTTTGCTAACTCATAACCTCTGCGAAAAAGGGTTCTTTTCCTTAGCCTAAGCCTCTCATTTTTCCGTTTAATAAGCTTGGCTTCCATGACTAAAGTGATATATTGCAATGGTTGCGAGAATCCTAGAAGGCAATTCTTTTATACAGTGGGGCGGACTCTTATCTTGGCCTGGATATTTCTACTACGTCATTAGAAAGTCCATGTTACGTGCCATCGTTTTGCTAGTGGCCTTCGTTTTATTACTAGCCATCGTCTTGCTAGTGGCCATCATTTACTAGTGGCCTATAGTGGCCTTAGTCATTAATGCTTCTGTAGGTCACTATAAATTTAAATTGTCAACAATAGCAAGGTTATGTTAGGCATAAGAGAGCAACGGCTAAACTTCTTCGATATCATCTTAATATGATCTCATTGTGGGTCAACAGCTATTTCAACTTTAAGCTACTATTCTAATCTTAGACCTAGATTTACAATCACTACCTTAGCATTAGTTTTAATCTGCAGTGTCTCTCCTATACTGGTTTACTTAGTACTAGTACCATATAAGCGTCAAGTTGTAAGGGATTTCACCATAAATTCAGACCCATGTCGCCAAGTCATACTCACTGGTTTTAGAGCACCTCAATGTAGCGACGGCAGAAACGAAACCCTCTAAGTTCACCCTATTGCAACACTTATAGACACAGATGGGGTTGTTCAACCCCTCAATTGGACAAATCGGGGTGAGGTGCAAGTCAACAGTCTTCAATTCTCTAGCATAAATAACGCTAATGCAACAAATTGTAACCCGATGTAGTTTATGTTTTATAATAAACAAGGCTTATATTCTAGAGTCACATATGTGACTCTAGGAGAAGCTGGTCAGAAGTGCGTGGACTTTTATGGCTCAACAATCGCGTCGTATAATGGGGTCACTTTGCTCTATCTGCAGACGGAAATACTTTAATTGGATAACAAGAATTTAACATGCGAAAGTCACGGTTATGGGCGATTTCTGCTATTATTTCATAATGACATTAATTTGACTATACTACGTGCATAAGTGCTAACATCTAAGCCCGTGGCATCTTCCATATCATCGTTGTCAGCCTCATCTAAGCCTTCCTTATGCCTAATTATTTTATAACCAAACTAAAAATTTCGAAACCTCTCGGTGCTGGTGATATCAAGGTAATTTAGGCAACTATCTAGCTACTTAAACCAAGGGCCCTAATCTGCCTCGAGTCGGGCAGTGCTCGTGATACTAGTCTAGCTAGATCTTTAGTCAACCTGTTTTGAGCTAGGCAGGGTTTACGAGGATACTAGTCTAGCTGGGGCTTCACTCGACCTGTGCACTATGATGTTAGTACTCTATAGATACCCTTGTAGCCAACTTACCCTTGTAGCAAGTAGAGGTTATCACTCGGGTGGTTTATGCATCAGTAGCTAGAATGTAATAGACTGTCCCCCCTTACCACCATGTTCTTTCTTATCCATAAGATTGTGCACTGCACAATAAACCATCTTTTCTTGCTGCACAAGTATTTTGCTCAGTTCTTTCTCTTGGTGCAACTAATCCCCTTTAAGGTATTCAGTAACTACGGGTGTAAGGCGGTGATCCTTGTTTTGCAAGTTACAAAGTATGTCCTTCTCCTTTGTGACCTGCTTAACACGTCGATAAATGTCTATGTAGGCCGACAGTGCAAGAGATGGTGTTTCTTGTATGTCCCTGCTCGCCTAGTCACTCTGGGATATAAATCCTCTTTTAGCATTAGTGATAAGCGATCGAAGCAGCTTCCTAGACTTCGTTGATAGGCGAGGGTAGTGAGATCCATTCTCTCTATGAAACTCGTACAGAGTCTTAAATAAGACTTCTCTCCTAGAGTCTAGCCTTACGTAACTCTAAGGCTTCGGAAGTTCGATGCACTCCGTCACTACACAAGGTAACGCACCTAGATAGTCGCTGGCAAAGCGTAGTTGAGGGCGGTCGTCGCTGAGAACCTAGTGGGGTGCACGGATCGGTACGTAAACTCGATTATTAAGGCTCTTGTCGATGTGGGATGTAATGGTGACAACATTAACTTTTCCATACAAGAATTCCCCTAAGACGATAACAAGGTGCATCTAATACATCCGATTAGGGTTATTTTCTAGTCTTGCATGCAGACTCAATTCATGTGGAGGCTTGAAATGAAATATCCTTCTAGAGATATCCTTAGGAGCTTCCGTCATTTTCAATATCTTAGAGGAAGCTTCTTAGTAGCGATGGTATAGCCTAGTTGCACAAATCTATCTAAGAGGTTAGGTTACACGAAGCAGATGCGCTGAAGATTTAATGAGATATATGTGAGAAGGCTAGAACGACCGTGAAGGCATGTAATATTAAGACTATAGCAAGAATTTATAACGTTGACTATTCTTATATATGGTGACGAAAGAGTGACGTTGACTTGTAGTTCTAAGCAATTACTTTTAGTTGCCGCTAAGGTAATCCGTTCATTCTTCCTTTTTAAAATCAGATCCACTACATTATTCTTCAACAATTCGAGGAAGGCGGTGCGGCTAACTAGTAATAGGTACCCTCTACTAAAGGTAGTTTTCTCTCATCTACGCGGTTGTTTCTTCAAGTATGTCCCCCATCCGACTACCTCTACGTCCATCAGTGCTGAAGTATGACTTAGAACCAAGCTTTTTAAGTTCATTAGGTATTTTTCTAGTTAGACGCAATGTGAGTAACTTAATAGTTACATCTGCAATTTTTACCCTAGCGCTGGTAGTGTCTTCAATACGTAGTGGTCGAAGTGCATGATGATGGTCTAGTTAGTAGAGATATGCCGAGCGCAAGCTCTCGTCTAGGCATGAGAATAATTTTCTCTAGTCTACGAAGTTTGTGCTGACGTTGCTGACAGCGTCATAGATGTTTAAAATAACTCTCGAGTTTGTGAATAGTACCTCCTTGGTTGTCTTGTTGTACGTGTGAGGTCTTAGAGAGTCAATGAAAATCTGACTATGGGAGCGAATGTCGCTACTTTTATCTCCTGTCATAAGTAGTATATATACAGACTGGTTCTCTAATGTATCGTCCATGTCGTAAATGGAGTGCAAGTCCTAGCTAAGTAGTATAGGATTGAGGCCGTGGCATCGAACAATTGATGTCTAAGACTCATTTTGAAAAATTGCATCCTAGACACTGTTATGCCTCCCTTAGAATATTAAGTTTGACATGATGAGCATAAATGAGCATAGTATAGTAAAGTGTCATTTGAAAGACATTTCAGTTTATATGATCAGTTAGCGTTCTTAAAAACGGCATGCTGGTTCTTAAACCTGCCGAGACTTAGTAGCTGCCATCATGTTGATGGCCTTCGCTTACGCAACACATATAACTGTTGGCTGTACGTCCCTGTTCTTGCTGGCAGTCGTCGGCACTGTATTATTTTCATCATGCAGATGAATGTACTATGCCTAGCTTTCGTATCTACTGGCCTTGCTGCAAGTTCAGCTGTTAATTCTCTTACTAACCCTTGGATAAATGCGACCTATTCAACTAATTCCGACTCTCCACTTGATATCAAAATCTGGACGGGACTAAGCTGTAAGAAGAACTAATCTAATGTATAGAAGAATGTCCTGTTAACTATCCCTGAGGTATAGGGAATATGCATTTGATAGAAAATATATCAAATGCATATTGGTTTCAGATTTGGCTATCTGAACTTAAACCACCCTTTTCTAGCTTCAGACTTAGTCGCCCTCTTAAGGATAGAGAGCAACTTGATTTTAGTCAGATCTTAGGATCAAATCTCTATGGGCTCTTTTTGCGCTCATATTAGCCCTAAGATTCACTAGGTAAGAGAATTAAGAGAGTAAAATAGCTTAAAATTAATATATAACAGCTGGATGTACTACTTTGAAGGAGGGTTCATTTTGGTGCATTCGACTCTAGCCCAACTAGGCAGAGCATAGAGTATAGATGAGTAGCTAGGAAACAATCTCCGTGCAATACATACTAGTAATAAATTCCTAGATGATATGCGCTTTTATATCTATATAATAATATATAACATCCTAGGAAAGCACCTCCTCTATTCACATCTTCAAAAGCTCCATTTTCTCGCCTAGCCAGGCCATACCCCTCGGCTTGCACTCTAGGTCAACTGCTCTACTACAACCACATCTAGTTGCAAATTTTCTCAGGAACCGCCTCCGCTTTGATGCCGGGGAGGGGCGACTAAAACCCAGCTGCAGTTCATATGCTTCGATCACCTGTAGCAAAGTGTAACCAACCGAGACGTGATGGCCATCACGATGTTGATGACCATCGTAATTTTAGTGCCCATCGGAATGTGCTCATCGGTTGCCTAAATTTCGCGGTTATCTGTCTACATTATACTCTTCTTGTTACTTTCAATCACAGTCATCAGATAATACTATAGATCTCGGTTTGGTTTACATCATGAAGTTGAATGTATTATACCTAGTTACAGTCTCTGCTTGCGTTGCTATAAGCTTAGCTGTTAACCCTCTCGCTACTAATTCGTGCTTAAATGCCACCAATCTAACCGCTAATAATGCTTTAACGGATACTAACTCTCCACTCGATTTCACAGCCTAGACAGGACTAAACTGTAAGTAGAGCCAATCTAATGCACATAACAATGTTGCTTAACCATCCCTTAGGTATAGGGTATATGTTTAAGGCTAGAGATATATCAAGGCGGTATAAGTGGCAGATTATACTAGCGAATGCTAACGCGCCCTTTTCCAGCTTCAGACTAAGTCGCCCACTTAAAGGGAGAGAACAACTTGATTTTAGATTAGACAGTTGTAGACGCTTTTTGCGCTCGTATGGGCCCTAAGATTCACTAGGTAAGGGTTTGAGAAAAACGAAATAGCTTAAAGCTAATATATAACAGCTGGATGTGCTAATTTAAACACATTTACATGCCTTTAAATCTGGCTAACTAAGACAAGTTCGACTACCACTTCTTCGACTACTACTACTTCGACTACTACTTCTACAACTACTACTTCTACAACTACTACTTCTGTTAATACAGGCGCTATAGTAGCATTTGCAGATGATACATTTTACCGCCTCTTAAACAATTATCTTAGTACTGGGTACTCTGTTACTGTCGGGAAAGAGAACGGAACTCTCTTGCGCCAACTTAACATGACTATTACTAGCAACAACAGCATGCAATACTAGCAAATCAAAAGGATCCCTAATACTGACACAAATAACTAGTACTGGTTTGCGTGTCAGTATCTTAGGGAGAATATGCGGCTTTCCCTAGACCCGTCGGATCTAATAAATCCGCTTATGGCGAAGGCAGATGATACAGTAATAGGGCAGCAGTGGAATGTTCAGAGATTGCTAGATGGGACGTGGAGCATCCGTAATGCGTTGCCGTTAAGTAGTCTGTGGAATTTTTAGACAGATCGGAGGGAAAGGGCGGAGTTGAGTACATATGGTGATACGTATGCGTTGTTTATGGATATGGAAGATGATACAGGGACAGAGTGGAGTATTGCAGAGGTGAGGAAAATTTCGGCAGCGGATGGTTCTTATTCAGTACTATAACGAAAAGATTTAATAAATCAGACGAAATATGTTAGGCCTATCACGGGGAAAGAGCAGTATCATAGTATATAGCGCAGTATTACAGTAATTCAATTAATTGTCATATCTATTCTAATGGATCTACGTAATATTTATGGCCCCTTACCGGCGTGTAGAGTTCTTACTTGCCCTAGTGAGGATCATAGGACGGCCGACTCTACAGTAGGGATCAGCGGCTTTCCTAGGCTAAAAGCCTGGAATCTCGCAGCTACCGGTCCCGATTCCTAACAGAGATGTTGCAAGGCCCAGACCACGCGACTTTAATCAGAGAGTGCCTTATGCCTTGAGATATGAGCCAGTCAGCTCCCTCGGCTATGCATTCTTAAGCCACGGCCCCTAGAGAAATAGAGACGTTTACGAAAGAAAGACCAACGGATTTCATTGTTATGCCTCTACGGAGTATTTGCAGTGAGGACGAGCTGCTCCCTGTTAAAAACCCTTACGTGGCTACGAGAATTCATCCTTTTAGGAGACTCTTGGACATATGGATAGTTTGACGTAGTAAACGTGTGTAGGCACAGCCTCTGGCCTAGGGTGCTTCTACGTTAGAACATTATGTGTAGTCTCAAAGGAGACCTTGTCTCCGGAGGAATCTGCCTGCGTCTGCAGTGTAGACGAATCCGTCCTAGCCCCTTAAGTTAGAGTATTAAAGCTGAGTCCGGCGAAATGCTCGGCCATTCTTTTTGACGCAGCGTTCTATGTTCTAAAATAGCATTGCATGTGCCGCGTTAGCTGCTCATGGGTGTAGCAGCAGCTACTCAGCTATAAAAGGGGGCGAAATCCCTAGTTAATTTTGTATACTCGACTCAACTTTCCCCTCGAGACAACTTCATCATGTCGAAAAGGAAGCCTTTAGTTCTCCTAAGCAACATCTCTTCTACGCGCGACCTCTGCGACTTTCTTGGCTTTTATGGCACAGAGGCTAAGAACGACCTCTGTGACTTTTCACGCAAATGGCGGATGGACTACACCACTAGGAGCGGGTGCCCTAGAACTAAGCTTCTGAATTGGAAATTCGAACAAGAAGAGCTGAAAATTATGGCACAAGCCTTCTTATCTAACGTAGTAGAAGAAGAATTCTAGTCTAACAGGAAAAGAGGAGACTCCATTCTAAAGGGTTCCGATGAAGAGTACGCAATTCTCGTCTTTCGGTAGTTAGGGTTTTAGTACCTAAAGCTGACTATTATTACTAGAACCGTGAACTTGTTGATGCAGCTTTTATGGAAACAAAACAAGTATGCTTATAATAATGCCAACTATCCTAAGCCGTCTCAAGATCGTATTCGGCGTATAGGTGCGACACAATACGACGGCTAGCAAACTAAACGTAGAAAGAGAGATGATGGCATTTTCATCGCCTATGATCACGATGGGTTTATGGAACGGGCAACAGAGCAGAGCTCCCTTTCTCAGCAATTTAGCCCTGCACCACCACCTCTAGCGCCTCTCTAGACAGATACAGCAGCACTACCGCCAACTGAGTCCTAATTACCACCACACGTACAGCACGTATTTGCTCTGACGACTGAACCTAAAGGCCGCGTCCCGATCCCATTCCATATTTTGCTTCATAGCGGCGGCAAGACACGCCAGAGTTTCTGGGAAGAGGGGCGCTTTAGCTCTAAATCTCTCCAAGAGTTTCTCCCTAGCTTTGCAGCTAAGCTGAAATGCGCACCAAACGATATTGAGCGAATTAAGCTAGTGCTGCGGTTGAAAACTCGAGAGGTTGAAATTGAGATGGAGGCTAGAAACGAGGACATATGGGAGATAGCGATGGCCACTTTTAGAGATGAGATTAAAAGAGGAAAGGCAAAGGGTGAAGTAAAGGGGGTGAGTGTGCTTGTGGAACCGGTAATGAGGAAAGGCGGTGTGGAGACGGGAGGCTGGGACGGGGATGAGGAGTTCGACTTTTAAGTGATCCGACAATTATAGCTTAAAACAATTTCTCGGAACAACGTACTGCGGCCTCGTGGATGCTACCGCGTGACCGATCGTATGGAAAGTATCGCAAAGTCAGGATATGTTCGCACAGTGCTACCTTCCCATGGACCAGCCGTTTGAGAGTCTAAAATCGACAATTGCTCTGAATGTTATACAGTAGCACCCGAAACCCTCACTCTCAAATACACACTCATAAAATATTACGCCCACCATTACTAACGCAAGGCTTTGCTACTTCTAGTATAACGCTCCAATATATACAATCGAACGCGGATATTGTGAAATAAATGCACTCTGTTAAGCCTATGTAGCTCAAGAAAGTTCGACTGTGAATAGAAACATAGACCGAGGCTCCAGTGACCAATACACATGATTATGTTGCTTCGGCGTTGTGATCTGCCTTGCGGGGAGGTTATGGAAAATACTTAATCCGAGCCAATGTATGGAAGCTGAAATCTGCCACCTTGTATTCCTGCCGTCGTGAAGTGCGGGGTATGCGTAGAACACCCAAACCCAAAATTGCAATTGTTTCTACCGCCTGAGCTTTGATTCTGTATAGTTCTGTACCAGCTCCTGTCATCCTACAAACCCTGACTATATAAACGTTGTGCTGTATAGCCGCTTGTAGAGCTGGCTTCCCCTCGTGTAGCTGCTCCAATACGTAAGCCTTGCTTCTGTTCGCTCCGTTACCGTTGCTCATAATCACCCGCTGTCGCTGCTACCATAGTTACAAGTGCTGCATTACGTCCTCTTTCATGTGGTGGAAGATATGATAACGTACCGTTCGTTAGCAGCTGGAAGCACACATTCTGATTCGGTTCCAGAAAAGTCCAAGTCAATAACAGCTAGAAATGGCCTAGCCACAACCTGCTTCTACCGTTCGTCATACGCTGACAATCGCCGAATACTGGAATCGGGTCATATACACAGTCCAAATTTACTTTAAAAATGTTTCTGGCTAACAAAGGTCTCGACAAACAGCGACGCTTACATATCGCCGCGAGGGAGGGAGATATTGAACGCATAAGTGACTTGCTTGAATCTGGTGACAATGTCAACGAAACAAATGCGGATGGGGATACGCCCTTGCATTTGGCTGTTTGGAAACAGTCCAAACCGGCAATAAGGCTACTGGTCCTTAACGGTGCAAGCACAATAAAACACGACGCTAGGGGGAAGTCGCCATTAGAGAAGGCGAAGCAATGGGGTGGTGTAGAACTTGAAGCATTTTTGATTAAGGTTCTGGAAGATCATCATGTACTCCAATCGGACCTGAGAACATATATGCTTACTGAAGACTGGAACGAATTCGACAAAACCTTGGAATACAGAGGCCTCATCAATACTTGTCGCGTAGAAGGACGAACTCTACTACAGATAGCAGCACAGTTAGACTTGTCTGATGCCATTCGAAAGCTCCTTGACCGTGATGCAAATATCCAAGCGCGAGATGAGGATGGTCAGACAGTACTTTACCTAGCAGCACAATCAGGCT